TTGAGCTGAAGAGCTGAGGGACAGCGCCCAGGCCCAGAGTTCAGGCCCCAGGCCCGGGCCCCCTCCCCTTCCCCCCCCCCCCCAAAAAAAAGAATCTCATGGGTTTTCCTGCCCAGGCTTTCTTCAAATGGAACCTCAATTCTCAGATTTCAGCCTCTGGAGTAACTGGATTATAGGCATGAGCCACAGTACCTGGCTCCATTGAATTTTGATGAACTCATTGATGAACTCATTGATGAAATCAGAACCCTCATGATCCAATCATTTCCTGAAGTTCTACCTCTGCACATTGCTAGCCTTGGGGACTTATCTTTCAATACAAGAGCCTTTGGGTGGGAATAATCTGTATCTAAACTGTAACAAAATATAAATACAATGGTTTACTCTTCTTGATCTAATTAATATAAAATCTAAATATTTTAGTATCAAGGGCCAGCTATACACTCTATGGCTCTACAGGACTAAGTATTGGTGGATATTTAATGCCACCTGGCCACCTTGGCTACTTTTGCATTTGAAATCATTCCACCCCACCCATCCTTTTCTACAAAGCCGAACCAAACACTGAATAGGTAACCATTTATAGACTAAATGCAGTGCTTGTCTGTGGCTCTGAACGTTCTAGAAAGAATCTCATCCAGGCCAAGCAAGTGAGACTGGGGTTGGGCCTATTGCTAGTAACAAAGGATCTGCATGCCAAAAGCTGAGAAGTTTCTTAGGGGAGTTGTCCCAGGTTTCAGTGGAATGACAATTACAAGGTGGATGGATCCTGTCACGCCTGCTGTGACCTTTACAATACACCAGTATCATTATTTTAATGTTAATTTGCATAATAGTTGGCCCAGCAGGAACAATGCTGGATGCTAATAGCTGCAGGATGCAATAAAATTAAACATTATCTGGGCTGCACTGCTAAAGGAAAAGTTGCCAAAGTATGACTCTTTAAGCACTTAATTTCATCCCAGGTCAAGTCCATACATAACCAAATGAGGATTTCCCGTATCTCTGGAGAAATTGGTGAGAAATGATTGGAATGAAACAGTAGCAACCACTTTTATATAGAATACTTATCTGGTAGTTTTTACCTTTTTTTTTCTCCTAAAGAATCATAACATGCCTTTCCCTTTTGAGTTATTTGAATTAGCCACAGATAGTACCCCTTGCCCAACCAACTCCATCACTACTGGGACATGCCTACAGATATAACAAGTTTGATATATCCTAAAAGCGTGAATCTCACCCTCCGGACCGAAAAACTTTAAATGAAACTTTGGGAAAAGGTAGAATCAATTGTGACTAGTAGAAACTTCTCTTTCCAAAGTAAGCAGATGTGATGTCTTTAAAATATTAAACGTTCCCTCATTCTTGTTTGCCAACAGAGGTGGCTATTAGCAAAGAGAATGAAAAAATACCAAATTGTTTGTATTTAGGTTTGCCATTTCCAACTATTGTTTGCCTGAAAAATGTACTGTCCATTATCTTACACTTTGTACCCCCAATCAATCTTTGGAAACTTTTTTTTTTTTTTTTTTACTTTTTCCACTTCTTTCTCCCAAGTGCCTAATTGCATGTCCACCACAAGAGGGCAGCCATCTCTAAAAAACAACCTGATTGCCTTTCTCTTAAAGAAATAAGAGCTAAACTTTAGGGAAAAGTTCTGCTCTCAAATCACACGCCTGCACAAAAGATCCTTCCGTAAAGAAGCGTTGATATGAGATAAATGTCCATTTTCTCTCCTATTCTTGGCTATCAAAGATTATGTCATAAACTGCCAAAGTTCCTGTTTTTGTTTTGTTTTTTTCCCAGGTTATCAAAGCCTAAAGCTGATAACCATCCTTGGTGCCTTTACCACAGACTTATTTTTCATCTTTTCCTGGGAGGCATCCAACAGTGATAAGCTTTCTCCTCTTTGTAAAGGCAACATGGTGACTTAAGTCTCCTATAGGTCTTGTTTTTTCACCTCACTGATGACAGCAGCAATTGTTAACGTCTCAGTTAAATGTGATAGGAAAGGAAATTGTTTCAGAAGCACAATAAACACTTTTGATTTAAATGTCTCTGAGTAGAATCTGTTTCATTGCCTCCTAGCCCAGATCCAGACTGACAGTCAACTTCCAAAGCACTTTTATAAAAGAAATAAAGTAGTATATTCCTGAATATTTGTCCCGCTTTTTAAATTTTCCTAGTAGACAAGCTACCTCCGAAATACCTTATCTGACCTTTATACCTCTAGAAACAGCAGTGCCGAATTCCCCTCTGTGGGTTGCTAATCCGATTTACGTGAGCGGAAGCTGGAATTATTTTAGCTCTCCAACGGGGGAAAAAAAACAACTAATGCACACAAATAATAGATTATTACTAGCTCCTGCTTCAGACTACCTCTGCTTTTCAGGCCTGGAAGATTTGGGGCCGAACCTGATTTTACCAATCTGGCCTAAAAAAAAGAGAGAACGAGAGCGTGAACGAGAGAGGGAGAGAGAAGAAGGAAAAAGAAAAGAAAAGAAAATCTGCCCTCGGTTTTGCTCACTTAGGCCACCCTACAGTCTTATGCATGAAGGCTCCTGGAATCCTAACAGGAAAGGAAAAAAAAAAGTCCTTCCCTTCCCCCCCTCTCCACTCCCCCGCCCCAAGATTCCAGGTGCAGCAGCTTGGGGTAATATTGAAGCTACACGTGGTTTGGCCTCAAGTCACAGCCTCGCTTCTGGGGACCCGGTGGAAGGGGTGGAGCAAAAGGTTCTAAAGTCCCAAACCAGAATTGTCCTGTGGGCTTAGCCTTACACATTGTACCTTAGGTCTGAGACCTTCCTCAGAGCTGCTAATCGCCTGCCTTTGAGCTGGGTGAGATAAGTATCACCAAGCCTGAAGTGATTTGGTACTGTAAAAAGAAAAAAAAAAACTACTCATCCCTCCCTCCACTTTCCCCTCACGCTGCCACGCAGCAAACACACGTTACACAAGTCCTGTCTAGCAGGAGACAGCGGGGGTGCGTCCGTGGACGCACTTAGTGATAGAAACGCGTGGCTCGTTTGCATACATTTGCATAAACGAATGTATTTCTAGAAGTGTACATGGTGATTACGCATGAGGCATGGATCTATGAATGGAAGCACGCACGGGCACGCACGCCAGCGCACTCATTTCTGTGCAAATGCATCGATGGCTAGATCTCCATGGCACGGTGCACACGAGAATTGCCATAGGCGCGCGCACGCGTCGCGGTGTGTCACTATTTCAATAGCACCCCGTCTCCGGCCCCCACTTTATTTCGTAGTTCTCCCACGACTGAAAACAGGAGCGTCTACCTCGCACCTATGCCAAGATGCGCAGCAATTTGTTTGGCTTTTTTTTCCCTCTCTCTCTCTTTTCTTCTTCTCCCCAATCGATGACTAAAGAAAAATCTTAAAACTGAAAGTTGAATAACGGGCCCGGTGGGGACCCAGAGGCTTGACCCGGGGTCGGTCCCGGATTTCGCGGCGGAGGACTCCCCGCGAGGGTCGCGCTGGGGGGACTCGACTTCTCCCACCCCCCCTCCTCGCCCCCCCCCCCCCGCCCCGAGCCTTGGGGAAGACGAGGTGGAGGCAGGAGCGCGCCCCCCCCCCGCCCTAAGCCCCACCCCGCCGCGGCCTCTGGGCGAGCCGTCCACACCCCTGCGCGCCGCTCCCGCCCGCACGGGGATCCCCGGCGAGCCGCGCCGCCGAGGGGGAGGTGTTCGGCCGCGGCCGGGAGGGAGCCGGCTGGAGGCGTCCCCTTTAAAAGCCGCGAGCGCCGCGCCACGGCGCCACCGCCGCCGTCGACGCCGGAGTCCTCGCCCTGCCGCGCGGCGCTGTTGCTGCGCCTGCTGCCCGGCTCGCGCTGCGCCCGCCGCTCGCTCCGCGTTCCCAGACCCCGCCGGGGATTTGGCAGCCGCCGCGGGACGTCCACCAGCAGCCCCTGCAGCCGGCCACCCGGACGCCCCCCGCCCCGCCTCGCCCCGCCCCGGGGGCCAGCGCCCGCCGCCGCGGGGTTACCTGGGGTTGGGACCCGGCACCCGCCGCGCCCGCCGCGACCCCCGCGCGGGGGGTTGGTGCATCCGGCTGTGCGCGTCCGGGCTGCTGTGGCCTCGGCTGCCGGGGCCGCGCCGGAGCCGCGAAGCGGGAGCCTGAGAGCTCGGCAGGCGGGGAGGAAGGGAGAGAGAGAGGCTCGGAGCTGAGTTCGCGCACTGGGATGCGGATCCCCTCGTCCGGCCGGGGTGCGGGCACCCGGGACGTGTCCGCCGGAGTGTGATCGGGACACCCCCCCCTCCCCACACCCCACCCCTGGCCGGTCACAGAGACGCTTGGCCCGAGGGCTGGGAGATTTGAGGCCACCCTCCTTCCTGAGCGGCCCCCGGGACTCGGCTGGACTCACTGGAGAATGCGCCCCAGGACGGCGGGGCTGCGCGGCCGCACGCTGTTCACTGGAGAGCGCTAATGGGGGTGCGCCCGAGGAAAGCCGAGTGATGCGGAGGGGGGCCCGAGGCGCCCAGCCCGTCGCCGTGCCCTTCCCCGGACCCGGCGTCCCCCAGGATGGCTGCCCCGAGCCATGGGCCGCGGCGGAGTTAGCGCTGAGCCACCGAGCCTCGTCCCCCCGAGTCCCGGAGTCGACCCCGCGCGGGGGCACGCACCCCGCGGCCGCCGGTGCCTAAGCACGAAGACAGCACCGGCCTCTCCGCCCCTCTCCCTGCCCGTCGCGTCCCAGCGCCGCACTCCTCCCCCTGCGCGCGGCTGTGTGTCAGCACTTGGCTGGAAACTCCTTGAACTTGCAGGGAGAGCAGCCGGTGCTCCCCACTTTGCGCCGGTGCCTTCGCCCCGGCGGAGCCAGCCTCGCCACCTCCGAGCTCCGCGGCTCCCGCACCCGTTGCCGGACCCCATCCGGGACGCCGAGGCCAGCTGGGGGACAGGGAGTTCTCGGCCCTCCCGGGAGCTGCCGAAGGAGGAGAAGGCGAAGAGAAGGAAGGGACGCCCCGTCCCTGCGCCAGGTCCTGCGGATAGAGCTTTTTCCATGTGGAGGCTCTTTCAATGGACGTGTCCCCGAGTGCTTCTTAGACGGACTGCCGTCTCCTAAAGGTAGAGGACGCGGGGCCGCGAATCTGGGATTGAGGTGGGGGGCTGGGAAGGGGGTGGAGGACTCCCCGTAGCCCGGCACAGCGGGGCCCCGAGCGACTCCGGGCGCCCGGACTGACGAGACGTAAACAGACACTCCCCCACTTTTCGGGTCCACGTGCAGCCGAGCTCCTGGGTGGGGGACGGGGGGGGGGGGCTGGACCCTCTCCCCCCCGACCCTATCATCCCCGGAGATGGTCCACCTTGCCCTCCCCGTTGCCCCTCCCCACCCTGATTTTCAGTATATTAATTGGGGCTGTCAACACTTACATGACATAAAAAAAGAAAGCAGTGCCTGGGAGAGGGCGGCCCTTGGGTTTCTCCCATTAATTGCCCACCTGCTGGACCCTAGCGGTTCCCTGGAGGGGGAAACTGACGCTGGGGTTCTCCGTCCTTGTTTCCAGAATGGTCGGCGTACCCCGGTGCTGTTTTAACAGCTGACACGCGCGCGATCTCACACCCCAGCTCTTCACGTAGTCATGAGACGCGGGTGGAGACGCCGATGCGGGGACGGAGTGGCCTTTCGGTCACCCCGGAGCTGACAGGCGCGGGCCATAGGTTGCAAGTGACTTTCAGGAGTCGTGGCTTTGAGTGTATGGTGACTACAAGTGTGCGCGCGTGTGCGTGTGCGCGCGGAGCCTCTAGGAAGCCGCACGCGCTGTTTGTGCGTGTTTCTGAGCCAGAGAGCGCTGCGCGGTGCGTTGAGCTCTGCATGGAATGGGGGGCGGGGTATCAGACCCAGCGATGGGATCCCAGATTCCCAGCATTGCCAATCAGGACCGGTATAACGGGGGGTGGGGGTCGTGGGGGGGAGGAGGAGAGGCAGACAGATGACATTCTCTGAATCTCGTTGGGGGTGAAATCAAAACCCCAAATCAGAAGTTGGACAGGTTGAGAACGGGATGGGGGGGAAGCGCCGAGAAACTTGGGAGGCCTCCACCTACCTCCTCCCCGCAATTCGGGGCATTTGGGACGCGCTTAGTCCCACTCGGAGTGCGGCATGCCAGGAGGGCGCCCTGGTGGAGGAGGCGAGCAGAGCCCTAGGCCTCGGGGGTGGAGGACTGGGCGGGGAACTCGGGTGACTCAACGTCGGCCCTGTCCGCAGGTCGACCATGGTGGCCGGGACCCGCTGTCTTCTAGCGTTGCTGCTTCCCCAGGTTCTCCTGGGCGGCGCGGCCGGCCTCATTCCCGAGCTGGGCCGCAAGAAGTTCGCGGCGTCGGCGGCGTCCTCGGGCCGCCCCACATCCCGGCCCTCCGACGACGTCCTGAGAGAATTCGAGTTGCGCCTGCTCAGCATGTTCGGCCTGAAACAGAGACCCACCCCCAGCAGAGATGTCGTGGTGCCCCCCTACATGCTGGACTTGTACCGCCGGCACTCGGGCCAGCCCGGCGCGCCTGCCCCGGACCTGCGGCTGGAGAGGGCGGCTAGCCGCGCCAACACCGTGCGCAGCTTCCACCACGAAGGTGAGCCCGCCTGCCTGCCGGCCGCCCGGGCGTAGGGGTGCTGCGGAGGGGGGAGCAGAGCCCCCACCCAACGGTGGCAGCCTGCAGCCACTGAAGGAAAAAGAAAAAAAACCCAGCTGGGCTAGGGCAGCCTCAGCCTACCCCATTACACGTTGCTTTCTCCACCATCCTCCCTGAACCCCATTTCAAAGCACTGCTGTGTGAGCAGGAGCCAGGGATTCCCCTCGGATCCGCACCCTTTTCCTGGCTTGCAGCCAGAGAGTAACTCCTCCCCCTGGAACTGGGGAGATTTTTGAGAGATGGGGAAGAAGGGGGGGGGGTCAAAGAAAGCCACCCCCCCAGTCAGCTACATGTGTAAGAATTCCACTGGGGCAGGGTGGGGGTGGGTGGGAATGGTAGAGCTTTGAGATTTTTGTTTTAAATCTATTTGGAAGCCCTTGGCTGTATGAATCTGCATCTTCTGTTTTAAGCCACAGTTTTAGGCTAGACAGGGCCAAGGGCAGAATTTTTTTTAATCCATGACTGAAAAATGAAAGCCCAGGGCCCTTCTTCCCACCCCCCCCCCCATCTTTCTCACTTAGGGTTTGATCTGGGCCTGGTTTGGGAGATCTTTGAATCTCTACCTAATCCCCGTGAGAGACCCATCCCACCATCCCTCTGCTTATTTCCACAATGACTTTCTTGTCTCCTGCTTAAATCTTAAGATAGGCTCCAGGGCTGGAGACCAGGCAAACCTTCAGATCAGTTTGTGCAGCAGCTGCCTGTTTCCTTCATATGTGATGAAATGTGGGGCTTGCTTTCTTTTCTCTTTTATGATACTGAGTGTGGTTTTCCGAAGGTAGGCTATTTCTGCTTGTTTCATCAGAAAGGCATTTGGTAGATTTGCAGCGTCTTAGAACAGCTACTGAGAAAGGACGTACCTAAGTTCTTAAAGCAATTAGTCAAAGCTATGTTCCACATCAATTCTTTCTGTACAGCTTTTAAATACTCCTGTGGCTTAATGCCTTCTAAATAGCGCATGGGTTCCTTTGCATTCTCCAAAGGAGTGCAGAAGTTGTACAGCACCGGGCAGTCATCACACAATAGGAGGGAGCTGGTTCTTGGTTCTTAGTTGGGCTTGGGGGGTGGGGGGGCTATAAATACCAAGTGGAAATCTGTGCTCTTAACAGATTAGAAGTAGCCCCTGAAGTCTTTTCCCAGTAAGGATGACTTAGACTTGTGAGAACCCAGGTTGCTAAGAAGAGGTCCCAAAGACAGGTCACTGAGCAAATAATACTTTGACCAAGCAACTGCACATTATGAAGATGTCATTGAACTGATTATTTTCAAGCACATTATATAATATAAAATTCTAGTTCTGAGGCTTGAACTAAAGGCCTGGGCACTGTTCCTTAGCTTTTTCCCTTTAAGCTGCTGTTCTACTACTTGCTATAGCTTTACTTCTGGCTTTCTGCTGATTAATTGGAGATAAGAGTCTCACAGACCTTTTTCTGCCTGGTCTGGCTTCAGACCGGGATCCTCAGATCTCCTGGGTAGCTTAGATTACAGGCATAAGCTCAGCCCTTGGTGCCCACTGGGGCATGTTAGTAAGGTGCTCTCTGAGCAGAAATTAAGAGTTTTGAGGATGGCAGTGAAACTTCATTCTAATCCTTTGGAATTCCTTCACTGAAAGCAGAAACTCCTGTCATGTGTAGTGATGTTTTCATGTGTGTATGTTCTGCTGTCCTAACCCTGAGCTGATTATAGAACTAGCTCATCATTTCCAGGTGATGCTGATTAGAAATAGTTTTCCTGGATCAAAAAAGAACCAGCCTAGGAAAACAACCAAAGAGTTGTTTTCATTATCTTTTCATGGAAACCATTCTTTACTTTATTCATAAAACCAGGATGATACTGTATCTCTGTAATAACTTAAAGAACATTCAAGTCAGTTAATAGACATTCAACCAAGTGAAGATCTCATCAGTAGAGCCTGCATATTTCTCATTCTTCCTCTAGAAGTAGCCTGATTTTACCTTTAATAGGCTATACATTTTTGACTATTTTTAATCCTAAATAGGGTGCTTGAGCTTATGCATATAATTTACATCTTTAAAAGTGAGCATTGTTAGGCTGGGAATGTGGCTTGGTGGTAGAATGCTTGCCTAGCATGTATGAAGCCCTGGATTCAATTCCTCAGTACCACATAAACAGAAAAGGCAGAAAGTGGTGCTGTAGCTCATGTGGTAAGAGTGCTAGTCTTGAGCCAAAGAAGCTCAGGGACAGTGCTCACGCTCTGAGTTCAAGCCCCAAGGCTGGTAAAAAGAAAAAAAAAGTGAGCAATGTTAGGTGAAAAAACAGGAGTTATTAACTTGCTTAAAATTAGCTTAGAAGACTGTATACAATTAGATATTAGAGAACGTGATGTGTTTTTTTTGCCCTAAATTGCAACAAATTCATCTTTTCTTATGCATTGTATGTCATCCTTAGGCTGGACATGGCACTTTCTGAAAATTGATATATAACCCAGGATTTTTTATAAGCATTTCTTGTATCTCACATACAGCTAAAACATTTAATAGATGATGTGATTGAGACTACTGGCTGGAGCAGAATTTAGACATTTATTTGTTAAAGAACCCAGAGAGCCCTATTAGAATTACCCATTGAGTTTTTTTTTTTTTCTTAGTAGATGGTATCAGATGGTTTGGTGGCACAAGGCAAGTGTTACCATGAGGGAATTGCAGCCACTGTATGTGTGATGAGTCCTCCAAACTAGTTGAGCAAGACAGAATTATCAGTTGTCATTTCTCCTGGTGAACATTGGCCAAGTCCATTCTACAGTGGCTTTTATTTGGGAGAGTGCAAGCTTTGCTGAAATTCTTTGTCAAGGTCATTAGAAAGTGTGTCAGCCAAGGAGGGGCGTGTTTTAGAAGGGCTGTCAAGTGTAGGGAAATCACTTCTCCAACTGCAAAGTATGTTTTATGCTTTGCTGCCATTGGAGACACATTGAAATTGGTAGGGTTCATTGGCCTTGAGAAAAGTCTCCCTACTCTTCTGACAGATCAGAAGCTAGAGGAACCACAGGCTTGCTCTCCAGATTTGGAAGGAGAGTTTTCAGTTTTCCTTTTTTCTTGCGTGAAATAACTAAATTATTGGCCTCTCTGACTAAAGCTTTCAGACAGACATTAATCCTGTCAACACAAATGCAACTTCTATTAACACAGCCATAGATAGAGTAGGACAGTTCAACAAAGAACCACTACTCTGAGGAAGAGAATGTGTGTCCCAAATTTCCAGGGCAGACTTGACACAGAGATAACCTCTCTAAAAATACACCAGTATTTTCTCAGTGAGACCCCTGTTATTGAAGTATGATGGCAAAGATCTTTAATGTTAAGTAGAACAGTTACTGTATTTAAAATGCTGGTAGAGATAGAGACTGAAGTTTAGCACTGGTTTTCTGTTTCCCCCAATCTTTTAGTGTTTCCCCTGTATTTCTTCTTGATTCCTCACAGTTTTTTTCTGTCTTTTGTAGACTTGTTCTTGAGGCACGGCACTGAGTAGTGCACAGGTGTTGACCCTAAGGGTGGACAGAGGCCACTTCAAGTGCTCCTTCCCTTTAAGTTGTCATAGCCTTGTATTAAAAACAAAATAAGACAAAAGAAGAAAATCATTGCTGCTTTGTTTTATATTCTTCTTGGTACCTATTACTTTATCTTACAGAAAATCTTGTTATACACAGCCCCTTTCATTTTTGTCATAGACCAGAGATTCCCAAATGAACTAACTTTATTTGAAGCATCTTCAGGCTAGGTGGTTTTAATAGGGCAAAAAAAAGCCACAAACTAGCAGTGGCTCCAAACAACATTTATATACCCTATTATGGTCTGTTAACATCAGTTGTGTCTGTTGCTTTTGTTATGTCTGCTATTCCCACCATACCTGGATAGTATATTCTTATTCTTTGGTTAGGGCAATGTGCTTCTAGTGGTTTGGACTGTCATTTGAAGTTGTGACTTGTCTCCAATGGCAGGTAGTACTATCTGGTGACTAAAAACTTTGGCATGCACTAGACTCTAGTTCATAGCTATCTGACTTTAGGGAAATTATATAGCCTATCTGAACTCTAGATGTTACTTCACTGTACAGAATGGGTATCATGGTCCCTCTCTGCTCAGGAGATAACTAATCTTAAAGCTCTTAGCACCAGACCTGACCCCTGAAAAAGCATCCAGCACATAAACTGACATTATATTAATGACATTTTATTTATTTGTCTGTTGGTTGGTTTGTTTTTGTGTGCTGGTCCTGGGACTAGAACTCAGAGCCTTGGCCCTGTCCCTCAACTTCTTTTGCTCAAGGCTAGCATTCTGCCACTTGAGCTGAACCATAGCTCCATTCTTGTTTCTTTTTGGTAGTTGAAGATAAAGACTTGACTGTCTGGGCTGGCTTAGTACCTCAGATTTCACCCTCCTGTGTCACTAGTATTACAGTCATGGAGTCACTGGCCCCCAGTTAGCATTGATGATGTTTTTATGTCACATTCTCTGCTCTTTTTTCTCCAGGGAACAGGAAGCTGGGGTGAACTTAGCCTAACCTCGATTGTTCTGAACTAGATGAAAGTCAAATATCATTTTTCTGTCCAGTTTTCTTCCTTTTTCCAGCCATAGCTCCATCCATTTGGTAAAGAGCTTAAAAGCTCACAAAGTGAGGTCTAACTAAAATTGCTCCAAATCCTGAAATCTCTTAGCAAGTTCAGCTGATTCAATATGAGTGTTTCAGAAAGTATACATTACTACTATGAAGTTCCACAATCCCCAGTTTTGGACAGTTTGTAAGGGGTTTTGTTACTGGACATAAAATTTTCTATCAAATCAACTTTGAATCTGTCTCCCTTGGAGTAGGAATAGGTGTGATAGATCTTATTATAACCCTCCGTGATGATTTACCTTGGTTGGGGGTTTCTGTGAATCCCTCTGACATGTCTGACCTGAGCCTGCGTTCTAACGGACATCTTCATATTAAGAGCACAGTAGGGATCTTTTAGTCATTAGGTTGGTGATGGTGAGGTTGGAAAATTGGAAAAAGGTTTTCTTTCAACCCTGTTATTACTTAAGAGTGAATTGTTATTGTTTGCTAAGGCTGCTATTCTTCCACAAAAGTTTGAGCCACAGCAAATCAATATTTTTTGTTCTGGTTGAATAATCACATCTTTCATAATGTATGCCTACCGATGACAGTCACACCCTTCTTATTTGTAGACTGGAATTCAGGCTTTTTGTTGCAGTTATCAGAGGAGACAAGAACTTCGTTGCATTTGGGGCTTTGAAGTCACTGGGATTTGGAGGATACTGCTGATTTTTACTTTGCTAACAAAAGAAAGTGCCCCCCACTCCTGTATTGAGGCACACCTACAGAACACGGAGCAGGGGTTTTACAGAAGCAGAATATACTCCATGATACTTGCTTGGAGCCACTGCGAAGAGCAGTGGTTCTTTTGGGGGAAGGCTTAGTTTATTGATGGTGTCTGATGTGAAGCAGCATTACAGTGGAGCTCAGAATATAGATGAATCCAAGAGGTTTTGACTAGTAGGTTCAATGGGATAGCGGAAGACTCATTTCTTTTTTGGAGCTTAAACTGGGCCTGAGCGCCATCCCTGTGTAGCATTCTACCACTTGAGCCACAGCACCACTTCCGGCTTTTTCTGAGTAGTTTATGGGAGATAAGAGTCTCACAGACTTCCTGCCCTGGCTTGCTCTGAACTTCCATCCTCAGACCTCAGCCTCCTGAGTAGCTAGGATTATAGGTGTGAGCTAGCAGCACCTGGCGAGATACTCATTTCTTGGCCTGGTATGGTTCTTGTACATATGTTTATATAACTTACCAAAGGCACTTTTAAAATTGTTCCTCTGCCAATCTACACGGAATGTGGGGAACACTCTTCAAAATCCTGACATAAAGCTTTGCAGCATCCTCTCATGTAGGAGCTGGTTGGAAAGACTGAATTTCCCACCACTCTTCTGACCCAATGGATGAGAAGCTGCCTTTAGCAACTGAAGGAGTCCTAGGGATTTTATGCAAAGGCTGAAGTTTGAGAATTGTGCTATTCATGTACTACTGCTTCATAGCTTGGGTGAAACTGCCCTGTTGAATGAACCCCAGTGCTTTAGTTAGCTTGCAGTGACGACGGTCACTTGGGGTTTATTTTCCCAGGTGGAGTCTTTTCATGAATGATTTCATGTGATTTTTCATTTGCTAAAGCATCTAGATTCTGTGAACAACTCACAACTCTGTCTTTAGGGAACGTGCAACCATAAAATGATTTGAAAAATAAGTCTCAGGTTTCATAACATGAAACAATGACCAAGTTGATTTTGTTAGCACTTGAGTTGAGATCCTAAAGTAAATAGGCCATTTTTTGCAGTAAAATCATTGGTTGTGATAACACAAGGAGACAAACCTAGATAGCTATCCCAAACCTAAATATCTTATTCTTACTACTAATTTAATAGTAATAATGTGGTTTGCTAAGTTATGAACTAACGGCATTCAATGTGTGTCATAATTTACTGTTTGCTTGGGAAACTAGTTGTTATAATGACAGTTTAGGAATCTTTTATCAGGCAAGACTTTAATGCGTGACCCCCATTTTAAGAGCTCTGATAAAAATTATGTAAAAAAGACTATTCTCTGATAAGATGGGGAATCTCGTACCTGTATTTCATGATTATGGGGTATTGAATTAAGGGCCTCATACTTGCTTGGCCTGCTTCCTTCGCTGGTTCTCTATGCTTGAGCCATACCTCCAGCCCTGTCTTTTGCTGATTATTTTGGAGACAGCATCTCCCGTAGACTTTCTGCCCAGGCTGGCTTTGAATCTTGATCCTTCACATTTCAGCTTCCTTCAGTAGCTAGGATTATGCACATGAGCCACCAGCATACAGCTTACTGTTGACACATGAGCCACCAGCATACAACTCACTGGTTGTGCTTTGGTTAATTTTTATAAATGGTTTTGTGCCTTTATTGCATACTCCTGTACACTTTTAACATCATGTTGAAAACTGCACAAAAGAAATGACCCAGAGAAGACAACAATGATTCTTAATTCCAAAAGCATTCGAAATGCGATTTTGACTCGAGGTCATAAAGAGGTGAGAGAGCCCAGTCAGGAACCTATTTCTCTCATGAACTTGTTTGGCCTCAATTCTTACCATGTTCTGGTAACCATCCATATGTTTTCCAAAGTAGTAGATCCCTGTACATGCCTTTGTCTATGGACTTGGAGTAAAATGGTAGGGTGCGCTTAGCAAAATGTCATCATTGATGTTGAGTTTCAAAGTCTTTAATTAGGAAGTTGAAATCTGTATATCAAGATTTGTAAATCACCTAAATTGCAGAGTAATGTTTTAGAATACTGCTTTAAGAGATTGACATTAAAGCCTCTTTTTTTCTTAAAGAAATGCAATAATTTCCTCAGCTCCTCATTCATTAGACGTTTACTAACTATAGTGTTGACTTTTTTTTTCTGCCTGAAGTCTTTGAATTCCAAAGAAATACTTTACTCTGTCCCTCATGATTTTACCCACCTGGAAGCTGTGTTCTTATTTAAAAGCATGACAATCATGTAATTTTGTTTTGTTTCATTCTATACTGTTGACATGACCATATGAAAAACGGGGGGGAAGTGAGTATGTATGTGTGACAGTCCTTGGAATTGAACTCAGGACCTTGGCACTGTCCCTGAGCTTTTTTGCTTAAAGCTAGCACTTTACCACTTGAGCCACAGCTCCATTTCCAGGTTTGTAGTAGTTAATTGGAGATAAGAGTCTCATAGACTTCCCTGCCTGGGTTGGTTTTGAACCATGATCCTCAGATCTCAGCCCCCTTTGTAGCTAGGATTACAGATGTGAGCCACTGGCTCCTGAGTCTCCTTTTTAATTTTAATGATGACATTTGCATTTGTTCATGTATCTCCAACTCAGAATTAAAGATAAGAGTCAGTTTATCTGCCTAGGCTGGCTTTGAACCATGATGCTCAGATTTGTCTCCCAATTAGCTAGGGTTACAGGTATGAGCCACCAGTGCTGTGGCAGCCCTAAAATTACTATTTTTTGGTTGGAGATGTGGCTTAAAAATGATTATAACTTGTGAGATGATCTGTAACCTCTCTTACTGAATGACTTTCTTTTTTTTTTTTTCTCCCCTTATTTTCATTTATCAAATTAGAATATCTGGAAGAACTGCCAGAAATAAGTGGGAAAACTACCCGGCGATTCTTCTTTAATTTAAGTTCAATCCCCACCGAGGAGTTTATCATGTCTGCTGAACTTCAGGTTTTTCGGGAACAGATGCAGGAAGCTTTGGAAAGCGACAGCAGCTTCCATCACCGAATTAATATTTATGAAATTATAAAACCTGCAACTGCCAACTCAAAATTCCCCATGACCAGACTTTTGGACACCAGGTTGGTGAGTCAGAACACCAGCCAGTGGGAAAGGTTTGACGTCACTCCAGCTGTGATGCGGTGGACAGCACAGGGCCATGCCAACCATGGCTTCGTGGTAGAAGTGACCCACTTTGAGGAGAAGCAAGGTGTCTCCAAAAGACATGTGAGGATTAGCAGGTCTTTGCACCAAGATGAGCACAGCTGGCCCCAGATGAGGCCATTGCTGGTAACTTTTGGCAATGATGGGAAAGGACACCCTCTCCACCGAAGAGAAAAACGTCAGGCCAAACACAAACAGCGCAAGCGCCTCAAATCCAGCTGCAAGAGGCACCCTTTGTACGTGGACTTCAGTGATGTGGGATGGAATGACTGGATTGTGGCTCCACCAGGGTATCATGCCTTTTACTGTCACGGGGAATGTCCTTTTCCCCTGGCTGATCACCTGAACTCCACTAATCACGCCATTGTCCAGACGTTGGTCAACTCGGTGAACTCTAAGATTCCCAAGGCTTGCTGTGTCCCCACGGAGCTCAGCGCCATCTCCATGCTATACCTGGATGAAAACGAGAAAGTCGTATTGAAGAACTATCAGGACATGGTTGTAGAGGGTTGTGGATGCCGTTAGCACAACAAAATTAATTAATTAAATACATATATATATATATATATTTTAGGAAAAAAAACAAAAAAGAATTAAAAAAAATCTCAAACCCACAACTCCCTTTTCCCCTACCCCCCAAAAAACAAAACCAGCTGACACTTTAATATTTCCCAATGAAGACTTTATTTATGGAATGCAATGGAGAAAAATAAAAAAAACATTATTTTGAAAATATATTTATATCTACAAAAAAGAAGTTGGGAAAACAAATATTTTTAATCAGAGAATTATTCCTTAAAAGATTTTTAAAGTGTATTTAGTTGTACATTTTATATGGGTTTTTTAACCCCCAGCACATGAAGTATATTGGTCAGATTTATTTTGTATTTATTTTTACTATTATAACCACTTTTTAGGACAAAGAAATAGCTAATTTGTATTTATATGTAATCAGAAAAAGTATCGGGTTTGTACATAATTTTCCAAAAAAAAAATTGTAGTTTTTGGTTGTGTGTATTTAAGATGACAAGTCTACATGGAAGGTTGCTTTGGCAAAGTGCTTAGCACGTTTGCTTTTTTTTGTTTTTGTTTTTTGTTGTTGGTTTTTTTGTTTTTTGTTTTCTTTTTTGCAGTGCTACTGTTAAGTTCACAAGTTCAAGTCCAGAAAAAAAAGTGGATAAACCACTCTGCTGACTTTCAAGATTATTATATTATTCAGTTCTCAGGAATGCTGCAGAGTGGTTATCCAATCCATGAGTACTTATTAGGTAGAATATTTGGAAAAGAATCACATTAATGATCTGATAGATACCCTCCCCTTTTTTACCCATTAACTTACAGAAAGAATAAGTAAAGCAGGACTAACAGAACTGACCAGGAACCATTAACATACAGGGAAGTGAATTCTGGTTCTTTCTTCAACTGGAGGTCATTTCCAGGGAGAGAGGGAAGAGCTGAACTGGCCAAAGTATTAAATAAAACTAAGATTTCTTTATGAATTGTTGTAGTCACGTATATTTAAAACTGACATCTTGCAGCCCTCAAGAGTTGGAAATTGAGTTGTATTTTTGCCTTTACCTTGTTGGGGAAGCTCTTTATGCTCCAAAGTACCCAATTTTCTAACTTCCCAACACCCAGAAAAATTGTGCACGTCATGTTTTTCTGCCCACACCCTGTTCTCTAACTGATCAGCTTGCTTTTCTTTCCGAGGCTATATGTTTCAACACATTTCTCCAAATGTTAAACCTATTTCAGATAATAAATATCAAAAGCTCTGGCATTTCATTCTGTAAACTCCAACCTGTGAGAGAAAACGACGCATTTGTACAATGTCCACAATGATTACCTTTGTGTTTTCATTTTGGGTTTCAGTGGGGATGGGTGGGGGAAAGGTAAGGAATGGTTGAAAAATGAAAGCATTTGATAAAACACATTTGCACTAAAGGAATGACCAATGATTTAGTATTTTTCATATGAACCTCTTTGGGGGATCAAAATGATTTTAAGCTTTGGTTAAAGTTTATAATATCAGCAAATCCTAGAGTCCATGATAAGTTTCAGGGATGGTATCCCATGCAGCAGAGACAACAGCCAGAAAATGAAAGGGAAAGTGTCTTGAGAATCAGCCTCTATAAGAATATTTGCCAATTGGCTGGAAGCCCAAATGGAGTGAAGTTAAATTAGGCTGTTCAGGACAAACACTTAGCAGTAGCAGAGCTTCTGTGCTCAGGTTGGAATCAGACCCAAGGAAGGGTTTTGAGGTTATGTTTCTCACACCAGGGAACCCACAGTTCCCCAGTCTTTCACTGTCAGGTTTTAAGATCAATTTTCAGGACTTTGTCCCTGGTAAACCTGCCATGATGGCTGGAGTTTAGTTCTAATGTATGGCTGGCCTCAAAAACGATTGGAGCATTCTATTCTAATCATATCCTTCCCCAAAATTACCTAGATGGCTGTGAGCATAGAACCTCCTAGGGCCAGAGAATCCATCAGATCTTACTTTGAGGCAAAAGCCTGCTTCTCTTTAAAAACACACATTTAGCTTCTTATCTCTTTCTAGGTTAATGTCATGTCATTCAGTGAAACTTAAGTATGGCCCCCAAACCATTCCTTTTTTTTTTTTCTTTGTCGGTTGTGGGGCCTGAACTCTGGGCCTGGGCACTGCCCCTCAGCTCTTCAGCTCAAGGCTAGCACTCTACCACTTGAGCCACAGCGCCACGTCAGGCTTTTTCTGCTTATGTGGTGCTGAGAAATTGAACCCATGCAAGGCAAGCACTCTACCACTGAGCCACCTTCCCAGCCCTCCCCAAACCATTCTTTACTCTTGCCATGGATACAGATACACCAATTGAAGTCTTAATATTTTAAACAAGTAGTTTTCCATCACTAAATTCTCTAGAGTATGGAAGAATACAGCACAAGCATTTCATACTTACTATCACCCTTTCCAAGCTTTTTTTTGTTTCATGTTGGTACTGAGGCTTGAACTCAGAGCCTCATGCTCTCAACTTAGCTTTTTCTCAGTAAAGGCTGGAGCTCTACCATATGAGCCACACCTTCACTCAGGTTTTGCAATTCTAGATTATTATTTGGTTCAATGACATCAGCTCCAGTGTAATCTCTTGCAATATGGCTACGTAAACTAATGTACATGTATTAATCCATGTAGATGAAGACCTTTTCAGTTCTGGCTTAATTTCAGAGGTTTTAACATATGCAAAAAAAAAAAAAGGACTCCTATCTTGGCAGTTGAGAAACATCATTCCTACATTCATTCATTCTTCACTGTTCCAGACATTGTAGTTACATCCTTCTCTTTGAGGGCCAAAGCCAAAACTAACCAGGACACCAAATTCCTTTCTTTTTTTCTTTTTTCTCTTTTGTCAGTTGTGGGGTTTGAACTCAGGGCCTGGAAATTGTCCTTGAGTCTGTTTGTGCTCAAGGCTAGCACTCTACCACTTGAGCCACAGCACCACTTCCGAATTTTGAGTGGTTAATTGGAGATAAAAACTTAATGGGGACTTTTCTGCCGTGGCTGGCTTTGAACCATGATCCACAGCTTTCGGCCTCTGAGTAGCTAGGATATTAGGCATGAACCACTGGTCCAAATGTCTTGAATTTCAGTCGATTCTGTTGAATTATATTAGTTTAGAGTTGGGTTTATAAAAACAGAACAACAGGAACCGCCAACCCATAGTATCTGAATATTGAGATATCGCCTAAAGCCAGTTTTTGGTTTTGTGCTTGCTCTGGCTGCCTGAGCCTCCCTGATCTGGGTTTAATCTGAATTGCACATTTGGGTTCTATTCCATTTTTGCCTCCTAAAATTGGGAAAGGGAAGGGTAAGTGGTTTACGGATCTAGCTGTGCCTTCTTCATCTTTTCATAATGTCTGCACCAGATAGGACTTTACATTGTACAGTACATCAAGAAATTTAAGAACGAAGGGATCTGTAAATCCAGTCTGCATAGGAAGCTGCAATGTCCTTAGAAAATCCAAGTCGTTTATATTTTCTCTTCCATTTTTCATTAATGGGGGTAATTTTTCTGTAGACCCAAAAGTGCATCAAAGTCCGGTGTCAGTGGCTCATGCATGTTATCCTAGCTACTCAGGAGACTGAGATCTGAGGATCACAGTTCACAGTCAGCCTGGGCAGGAAAGTACATGAGAGTCTATGTCCAATTAGCCACCAAAAAGCTGGAAGCAGAGCTGTGGCCCAAGTAGTAGCCTTGAGCACAAAAGCACAGGGATAGTACCCAGGATCTCAGTTCAAGCTTTTAGGACTGGCACTAACATCTTTCTATTCTACTCAGATGTTAATATTAACATTAATTAACAAGATAGTAAGATACTGATATGGCACATTCCTCATTACAAAGCAAAAGGAAGATATCCTTACAGGCATGAATAATGAAGGTAATTTGGACATGGATTGGCAACCTGAAGAAATAAGAATGATCTGGCATGATTGTGTGTGTGTGTGTGTCTGTGTGTCTGTGTGTGTCTGTGTGTGTTCCGTCCTGGGGCTTGAACTGGGCCTGGGCACTGATACTTGCAGCTTTTTCACTTAAGCCTAGTGCTCTACCACTTGAGCCACACAGCTTCACTTCCAGCTTTTTTGGTGGTTAATTGGAGTTCAGAGTCTCACAGACTTTCCTGCCTGAGCTGGCGTTGAACTGTGATTCTCAGACCTCAGCCTCCTGAGTATAGGAGTATAGCCTCACGTAATAGGATTACAGGCATGAGCCATTGATGCCCAGCTTCTGGCATGATTCTTTCTCTCATTTATTCTTTGCAGGAGATGGAAAGGGTGAAACATGTAAGTCTATTTCACTCAAGTAAATTGCTTTGCAGCTTACCTCCACCCTGCTGACATAAATTACAGTCTTAAGGTATTCTCCAGGGCAGGATTTTTCTGACCATTTCTCTGCCCTACAAACTTCAAAGTCTACTTCAACCTAACGTTAGGGGATGATGTTCTAAATAAAACATCTTAGATTTTAATGTGCTTCCAAATCACCAAGTAATGCCTTAAGGAGACAATGTGGACACTTCTTCCCTCCCGCACCCAGAATGGTTCTCTCTTGTGGATCTTATTTCAGTGGGGTTCAGAGTAGGACCGAGTATCCTACATTTCTAACAAGATCCCTGGCAAAGCCCTGATCACAGGCTAATGGACCATTTGTTTGAGTAGCAAAGTGCTAATGAATATTTTCTTGATCATCAAGTTGGATCAAGTAGAGGTTTTTCTTTATGTACAGTGCTTAAAAGGAAAAAGAGGGGAAAAAAACCCCAACTCAATATAGGATGGCATCTGAATACATTTCACCATGTCTGAAATAATGCCCTACATATTTTTTTTCAAAGACATTCTTTTCTCCCACAAGATGACTAGCAATTTTGTGTTCTAGCCACCCTCAGACATGAAAACACTTGGTTGCTTATCTTGTAAAATCGGCTCTGCTTGCTTGCATGGGCATGCATCGAGTCAGTTTAGTCAAATACGTGTCGGTACATCTATGTGAATGGGGGAGCAGGTGCAAGCCCTTAAAAACGTACTTTAAAAAAGTTTAACACTTAAGTCAGTCCACTGAGTTGAGCCTGTGTGATCTTAGTGCCAAGTGTCTGCGTTGAAAGTTTTCCCTTTGAAGGTAGCAAAATGTCATGCATTTTTAAGCATTTGTTTATACTAAAAATGATGCTTGGTTTTTATTTTAAGTTCTAAGACACTACACTGTACAACTCTACCAAGCCTAGAGGGTGGTGAAAAGCTACCATGGATGGTATTTGAGGTTTGGATCTAATGGATACTGGAATTTTCTAGGCCACAGTTGACTTTGAATAAGGTGTTTAGGTGGATGGGCTTAGGCTAGGAAAAGCAAAAAGATTTGATTTTTCTCTGCACAGAGGTCCTTGTTTGGTGCTGGTGCCACTTGTTAGGCAAATGTCCTTTGAGGGTAAGCAGTCTTATTTTACTTTTGGGGAACATTTTGAAGCTTGTGTGCTTGCTTTCTCTCTTTCCTTCCTTTCTTCTTCCTTCCTTCTTTCCTTTTTTTTTATTGTTTCCTTCCTTCTTTTCTCCTTCCTTTCCTTACTCCTTTCCTTTCCTTTCCTTCTGTGTGTGTATGTGTGTGTGTGCATGTGCACACACGCATGCATGCATGTGCACACCAGTACTGAGTCTTGAACTTTGGGCTTGGGTGCTTTAGCTTTTAATTAAAAGCTAGTGCTCTACCACTGGAGCTACCCCTCTACTTCCAACTTCTTTGCTAGTTAATTGAAGAATTTTTAAAGAAAAATCTCACTGACTTTTCTGCCTGGGCTGGATCTCAGCCTCTTGAGTAGCTAGAATTGCAGGTGTGAGCCACTAGTATCCAGCTGAAGCTTTCTTCAGTGCAACTCATATTTGAGTATTTGTTGAAGAAATATTGGACCTAGGGCTTCCTAATCTCATTTTACACTAGTTATTTGTGTGTGTGTGTGTGTGTGTGTGTGTGTGTGTGTGCATAATGGTACTGGGGCTTTAACTTAGGACTTTACCCTCTTGGCTTTTTTGTTCAATGTTGGTTCTCTACCACTTGAGCCATACCTCTACTTCAGCCTTTTTGCTGATTAATTAGAGATAACAATTTCACATACTTTTCTGCTTGAACTGGATTCAAACCAAGATCTTAAGATCTTAACCTCAAGCCAGTCACTGGTGGCACACACTTGTAATTCTAGCTACTGAGGAGAGTGAGATCTAGGATCACAGTTCAAAGTCAGTCTGGGGAGGAAAGT